TGTCGTACATGTACAAGTTGTGCGGCCTTGCGGGGACCACAGACACGTAGTAGAGGAGCACCGAAATTGTACAATGTTGGTGCACCACGGGATAGGACAGCCCTTGACATTGCGGAGCCGTTACAGAAAGGTGCAAGAGGGACTCCTAAGATCGACCATGTGGATCGCTTGGCGCGTTATTATGGGGCCGATAATGCTCGGGACGAGCATGTCTTAGGAGGGGGCAGATTTACGCGCTCAAGTCGACGACACACTAGCGCCATCTAGTGTCAGGAACGAGAGCGAGGGGAGCTTTGCAGAAAATGACATCACAAATCTTTCAACCGACAGCGCCATCCGAAGAACTAAGTTTCTAGAAAATCTACACTCGCACACTCGTCCCTTTGCGCGCATTTACTTGAATATTCCGGATGCTTTATTGCTAATTTGTATATATAGGCGCTGCAAGATGCGATAGGGGCAGTATTGGAATTGGCGACACAAGCGAAGCTTCGGAGCGGAATAAAGTGAATTAGTGTGTTTGATTATTAGTGTTTTAAGTTTTAATTTGTGTTAAGTAAATTAGTGTTAATTTAGGTAATTTTATCAGCAATTTTTATTGTCACGAACCTCAAGCTCGTAACAGTATTAAGGATACCTTTGAGTATGACATAAAAAGAAAATCGATCCCGATGAAAAAGAAATCATTTTTTTACAACGTTTAATTAGCTTTATTCACGCTGTATCATGTTATTACAGCTAAACGAAACGACAATTTCATAAAAAAATCATGAAAATACCTAAACATGACACCAGCAGTGAAACTTAAATACTTAAAATCTAGCTGACAAGGGTCATTGTACGCGCGACGCTAAATCCGCTCGGCTCACAGCCACATGAGCAGCTAAACGGAATTATATACTCATGTCATGTGTCCATAAGTTTAGTTATACCTACGACTAGTCTTCAAGTGGAATTTAGAAGTTATAGTTGTCATTTTTAACCACTCCAACGTCCGTCCCACGCTGGTAAATATGCGTCAAACGTCCGACTACTCGCCGCCTCAAGCCGCGCGAATCTGTCCCCGCTGCTCGACTAACAAAAACCTTTGTAACAGCTAAAATATAATAGCTACAGCAAAGATAAAAATATTGAAAATAGCTAGACGTTTATAGATTGAATTTATATATATTTGAGAAATCGATAGTGATAATCTATTATTATTAAAATAAGGTTTAATATCAATTAACGAGTGGAAAATAAAAAAAACTTTCAATAAATTTGTTTTGTAAGCATAAAATATAGTAATTTTTACCAACAAAACACTAAAAATAAAAACCAGATTCATTTTTCGTTAATACGATGCTAATATATTGATATATAAATATTTATAAGTAGCTAAACAAATCAAATCAAAATACATTCTCCTTGCAATTTTGCGGCGGTCTCTTGACTATAGCCGTGTCGTCGCGCATCGTTCGAATTGAAGAAGATGGCCGTCCGTTTAAGGCCATCTAAACACGATAAGGTTGAATGAAATACGCATAAGTGATAAAATATTTTAATGATTTATAATTTTGGCTTAAAACGATAAAATTAGAAAACTATTTGCTAAATCGACGTCCCCGAAGAAAAAATCGTATTAAATAAAGTAAATTTTATTGGAGAAACAAAAATTTCGTAATGTGTTGCATTAGTTCCAAAGAATAAATTGTTGACTTTTGAAATAATAAGAACAAAAAAATATCACAAAAGGTAATGACCCAACAATACAAAAGCATTAAAATTTCTAATACATTAAAAGTGTGCAAATACGATTTTCTTCCTCGGGGCCGTCGAAATAGAGAATATGCATTTCCGTAACAATATAATATATTTCATGAATGTTCGCCTAAATGTAGTACTCCATGAAACAGCCTTCAATACATAAATTAGTGTTACACTCCAAACACTTCCATATAGTCCTCGCCGTAACTTTCCGCTGAGCGCACAGCCAACAGCGGCTTTGTTTGAATCCGTTTCTGACGGGGAAATGTCGGTGCTGTAGTCGGGCTCTGTTGCTGCTGTATTTGGTTTTCTTCGTAGTGTCGTTGTCGTCAGTCCGCTTGGACTTGTTATGAGGTGTGGTTCAATTGTCAGGTCAATAAGGCGGTGAATTTTCAATAACTCTTCAGCCAAGTTTGTTCTAAATTGCCTATGTCAAAATTTTTGGTTAGCAGATTTAAAAATAATAAAACTATTGAAAATTGCAGTGTCGAAAAAGCGAAGGAAAAGTTTCTTATGCCATATTCCGTTCTTTACGCGTTCCAAAGGACGTGCAGACAGGTATTGATCTTTCCTGTCCACACCTCCTTTGGATTTGTTGTAATCTAGAACAACGCTTGACTTAAAAGTCAGTCTGTTATATTTTTGTCGAGTCCCGATTTGAAGATGGTGATATGTCGAGATCAGGCAAACGATGTTAGCATCTCGCCATACACATATCGACAAATCGGAACTGTAGCTACACACTACTTCACCTTGTCTAAGTTCAGTCTTCGTCATAGTCTTCAATTGAATCAGGAACAAATTCCCGATTCAGTCTTAGCGTGCCAAAGCAGTCAGTCTTTAGTCGTTTCAGACATCGCGCTAATAATGGACTATTGTAGAAATTGTCCATAATTAACGTATGCCAGCGGTGAAGAAGAGGCTCTACTAGGTCATAAACTATTTTTGAGGTAGCATTGGTCGGACAGTCACTTGTGCGGTTAGTCATTTCCGTGTCCTGCGATCTGCCCTCTAGGTTGTCGGCGTTAGTTAGGTCATTAGTCGTCGTGGTCGTAGGCACAGTCTTGGACTCTTCCTGCATAGCACAAACGAACAACTTCCAAAGGTAATCGGTGGAAGACTCGCACAACTTGTAGGTTTGGACCCCGACTTGGGAAATCTTAAGGAAATTTTTTGTGCGAATCACAGCCTACCGTGCCACTTTAAAACTGATTCGTCTATAACTATTTCCTGGGAAGGATAGTACAAAGTCGAATATTTGTCATTAAAGTAGTCTATGATTGGCTGAATTTTGGATAGCTTAGTCATTTCTGTAATGTTGTTATTGTCAACGAAATGCATCAAATATTTTAATAATAGGTATCTGTTGTAAGACATGACTTTACGAAAATAAGGCATAGTCCCAAAACCATTAAAAGAGAAATAAGATTCTTCACCTGGGAGAGGATATAGGCCTTGTAAAATAGATAAGGCTAAGAAACAGACCGTTTCGTTGCGGTCAGTTGGTGTCCAGCGATACAGTCGTGAAGTCAGAAGAAATTTGTCTTGGTCTAGTAATAATGTTATTTTTTGATCGGCGTATCTATTAGTTTCAGTACAAATTCTATCTACGAAGTCACTGTCTATCATTTTATAAAATATGTCAGTAATACGTGTCTGGTCTGTCACAGTCATAACTGGTCCTGGAGTCAGAAAGTAAAGTCAAGTTTATAAGAATTTATATGTAATTAGTATTTAATTTAACATAATATAAGTTAAAATTAATCTAATATAACTTACTTTTTCCCAATGTTCAGGTCTGTAGCTCTATTTCTAGGAATAAATGATTTTTTATATTTTTTTTATTTTTAAGTAAAGTCATAACAGTCCTGAGGTACAAATTCTCTCATAGCGAGATCATTTCGGCGGTCTTCAGCTTCTAAAACAATATTCTCGTGGTAATTCAAATCGCTGTGTATAGCAGGTTCTAACGATGCATTTCGTGGGGTAATTTGGACATATGGGCAGAGTTCGTCACCTAAGTCCAAGTCGCAGTCACTTGAGTCGTCAGTCAGTTTTATCCAGTCGTCAATAGTCTGCTCAAAATGTTTGCCATTCATACCTGCAAAAAACAAAATCAATATATGTATATTATATTTGGCGCTCTTTCATGTTCGTGCATTCAAGAATTTATTTAAGTTGAGGTTAAATAAATAAAATTAGGAGGACCGATCGAAGATCGGTGTTTACTTGTTGAAGGCGCCGTAGAGATTTCGACATCTGTCTCCGCCAGTGTTGCCATTTACACGGCAGTTGCCGTGTTACACGGCAATTTGGGTCTATACAGCAATAAAACACGTTAAACGGCAGCATATTAATTGCAGTGTTCTAAAACACGGCAATTCAATGGTTACTAATTTTTTCCGAAAATTTCATTGGTAGTCGATATGTCATTATAACGCGTATCACTAGACTACACTAGACGTAGTCATGACTCTATGAGCGGGGAAATCCCAACGCGAATTCGACATACATTCGCGCACATCATTGTTTATGGTATCCATTTCATTCTTTCGTCTTTTGAAAATTACATTAAAAAATATACTGCTGTTTATTTACTTTATTTAATTTTAGTAGCTAAACACTTTATCCGATCTCAAGGAAATTGTATAAATTTCGAACCGACAAAACAAGTGATAGACAATACGAAGGAAAATAATAAATATAAATATAAGGGCAAGGTGTTCTGCCCGGGGAGCGGCCAACACTCCGTGTGATAGTTCGGAGATGTTCCATATATACTGTTTGTAATTCGAAATTTTGATAGCGTGATTTAGGCTTCGGTGTGTTTCGCCTGCGGCGCGACGACAGAACAAAGACGAAGAAGAAGTTTTACGGCAACTTAAAATTGCGAAATGGCAACCCTGGTCCTCGTTGCCGTATCTGAAGCATAACGTTATACTAAACAACATTGTACGAGTTTCAATATAACCAAAAACTACCATTTTCCTCCACTAAGGCGGCCAATAGTAGCAAAAAGACCTGGGATAGAGCAGCAAAATCTCTCAGAAAATATTACGAAACAACGTTTTTCATTTATTGGGAGTGTTATTCATACATGATCGGTAATAAATTAAGTCAATTTAAATAGGGAAAAGGGATACAAAAAAGGAATACATCGACGAAGATCATTCAGATGACAATTTAGTCATCATCTTTATGATCTTCGTCGATTTATCGCTTTTTATGGTGCGTTTTGGACATCAATGTCGTATTTAAGTCTGTGCTCGATCGTCCTGGACCACCATCCAGAGAGCTGGCTGACCTGGGCACAGTATCGGCACTGGTGTACCACCACGCAAAAATGCCCTCCTCTCCCAGAGCGCTGCCACTAGTCGCTCCTCTGTAACAAAACAGTGAAAATTTAGATGTTTGATAAGAAGAATCTCAGCATCCGCTACTTCTACTGACTCTTGTTCATTGACTGGCGGTAGTTGAATATCCTCTGTTACAAACAAACAAACAACATTCAAAATCGCAATAAGATGAAGTCATCGTGAAGTTTAGTTAAACATTTACTTACCTATCTCGGCGTCTGCTACAATATACAATACAGGTGAATATCATCAACAACATTAGAAAATCATAATTATATTAGATTAGTGAGGTGAGGTCTAGTACAATATTTACTTGCCTATCTCGTTTGCCACAATTTCTGCTTGTTGTGTGGGTGGCACCAATTGTATCTAAAACAGAATTATAAACGTTATAAACATACCTAGCTATTATAAAACAAATATTGGAAGACAATAACGACAAATTATAAAAGATGGTATGTGGTAAAGAATGTTACCTGAAATAACGATTCTGCTTGACTGAGAAGCGGATTGGTCTATAAAGTCACATGGCTCACGACATGATTATGAAATGAAAAAATATACACGACATGATTATGAAATGAAAAAATATAATGTATATAACGAAAGTGCGTATACTATAACTAACGTTGCGCATCTTTAACGTGTTGGTGCGTCAGGCAGCAGTATCCTTGTTAACCGGGACTCGCGCTCCCGGGCTAGCAGCTCCTAGCGCGTGTCCGCTGGCGGCGCCGCTACACGGCTCTGCGTGAGTTGTCTGTGACCACGTACAACAGCCACGCTCTAGGCCACTGCTGCTTCACGACAACGTTAACCGGGACTCGGCTCCCGGGCTGCCAGTTCCTAGCGCGTGTCCGCTGGCGGCGCCGCTACACGGCTCTGCGTGAGTTGTCTGTGACCACGTACAACAGCCACGCTCTAGGCCACTGCTGCTTCACGACACCGTAACCGGGACTCGGCTCCCGGGCTGGCAGCTCCTAGCGCGTGTCCGCTGGCGGCGCCGCTACACGGCTCTGCGTGAGTTGTCTGTGACCACGTACAACAGCCACGCTCTAGGCCACTGCTGCTTCACGACAACGTTAACCGGGACTCGGCTCTCGGGCTGGCAGCTCCTAGCGCGTGTCCGCTGGCGGCGCCGCTACACGGCTCTGCGTGAGTTGTCTGTGACCACGTACAACAGCCACGCTCTAGGCCACTGCTGCTTCACGACAACGTTAACCGGGACTCGGCTTCCGGGCTGGCAGCTCCCTAGCGCGTGTCCGCTGGCGGCGCCGCTAGACGGCTCTGCGTGAGTTGTCTGTGACCCCGAACAACAGCCACGCTCTAGGCCACTGCTGCTTCACGACAACGTTAACCGGGACTCGCGCTCCCGGGCTAGCAGCTCCTAGCGCGTGTCCGCTGGCGGCGCCGCTACACGGCTCTGCGTGAGTTGTCTGTGACCACGTACATCAGCCACGCTCTAGGCCACTGCTGCTTCACGACAACGTTAACCGGGACTCGCGCTCCCGGGCTGGCAGCTCCTAGCGTGTGTCCGCTGGCGGCGCCGCTACACGGCTCTGCGTGAGTTGTCTGTGACCACGAACAACAGCCACGCTCTAGGCCACTGCTGCTTCACGACAACGTTAACCGGGACTCGCGCTCCCGGGCTGGCAGCTCCTAGCGTGTGTCCGCTGGCGGCGCCGCTACACGGCTCTGCGTGAGTTGTCTGTGACCACGTACAACAGCCACGCTCTAGGCCACTGCTGCTTCACGACAACGTTAACCGGGACTCGGCTCCCGGGCTGGCAGCTCCTAGCGCGTGTCCGCTGGCGGCGCCGCTACACGGCTCTGCGTGAGTTGTCTGTGACCACGTACAACAGCCACGTTCTAGGCCACTGCAGCTTCACGACAACGTTAACCGGGACTCGCGCTCCCGGGCTGGCAGCTCCTAGCGCGTGTCCGCTGGCGGCGCCACTACACGGCTCTGCGTGAGTTGTCTGTGACCACGTACAACAGCCACGATCTAGGTCACTGCTGCTTCACGACAACGTTAACCGGGACTAGCGCTCCCGGGCTGGCAGCTCCTAGCGCGTGTCCGCTGGCGGCGCCGCTACACGGCTCTGCGTGAGTTGTCTGTGACCACGTACAACAGCCACGCTCTAGGCCACTGCTGCTTCACGACAACGTTAACCGGGACTCGCTCTCCCGGGCTGGCAGCTCATAGCGCGTGTCCGCTGGCGGCGCCGCTACACGGCTCTGCGTGAGTTGTCTGTGACCACGTACATCAGCCACGCTCTAGGCGTCTTCGTCGTCATCGTCATAGTAGTAGTTACGTTGTACCAGTTCTGGCGCACGATGTTCGTCGACTCACAATCCTAAAAAAAAAAAAAAAAAAAAGGTTTTGGCATGCTCTGATCACGAATGTGCGGTCCATTTTTTGCGTACGATGCACGGTTCCGGAGATGTGCAGATCAATTAACTCTTATCTAATTGATATCCGCTACGAGCCTCAACCGTCATTAGCGCTCCATTGTCCTTATCTACTTATCTATTGTTGATTGACTACCTTTACTTATTCGTCCAGCGTGTGGGTCGGCTTATGCTATTGTATTATACTCCTTTGTTCCTATCTACAACACTAATCTGAATCATCAATAAAACACATTACCTAATTTTGTTAAAATTTTTATTTATAAAATACAAAATCTTATTACTTATTATCTATAAAATAGGAGCGAAACATCTCATCCACTAACATATCGTTGTACAATGTGTTCTCTGTAAATATACTCGTAAAACTATGCATTGAACATCCCTGAAACTTATATAGCAAATACATTAAGCAATATTCGCCACAAACTGAAGTCCTATCAACATTCCAGTTCCATCTTTTAAACACATTACCTAATTTTGTTAAAATTTTTATTTATAAAATACAAAATCTTATTACTTATTATCTACAAAATAGGAGCGAAACATCTCATCCACTAACATATCATTGTACAATGTGTTCTCTGTAAATATACACGTTAAACTATGCATTGAACATCCCAGAAACTTATATAGCAAATACATTAAGCAATATTCGCCACAAACTGAAGTCCTATCAACATTCCAGTTCCATCTTTTGAACACATTACCTAATTTTGTTAAAATTTTTATTTATAAAATACAAAATCTTATTACTTATTATCTATAAAATAGGAGCGAAACATCTCATCCACTAACATATCGTTGTACAATGTGTTCTCTGTAAATATACTCGTAAAACTATGCATTGAACATCCCTGAAACTTATATAGCAAATACATTAAGCAATATTCGCCACAAACTGAAGTCCTATCAACATTCCAGTTCCATCTTTTACAATTTCTTTTTACCTAATTTTGTTAAAATTTTTATTTATGAAATACAAAATCTTATTACTTATTATCTATAAATTAGGAGCGAAACATCTCATCCACTAACATATCGTTGTACAATGTGTTCTCTGTAAATATACTCGTAAAACTATGCATTGAACATCCCTGAAACTTATATAGCAAATACATTAAGCAATATTCGCCACAAACTGAAGTCCTATCAACATTCCAGTTCCATCTTTTACAATTTCGTACAGGTGCCCGTCCATATGAATCAAAATATTCACCGACGTCATTCGTATCGATATATAAAGCTACCCAATGTGACCCTGGTTTATCATCTGTACCCAAATTGCATATTACCTAGTCAGGTCATGAATTCTATCACATGTTTAATGTAAAATAATTAAAACAAGTTTATTCATTATGTAACCATTTATATACCAAAATGAACTTAACAAAACATAGATTCTTATGACACTATAGTTTATTCAAAATGACCTCCGTAATTTTGAATACAGGCCTTCAATCTGCGCGGCCAGTCGTCTATCTCACCACGAACGAGGTCCATGTCATATCGGCGGCTGCCTTAATTAAAGATGTCTTGAGTGACTCGAAATTGGGATGAGGCTTTGAGCACGCCTTTTCCTCCAAGTGTTACCATATCTTGTAATCTAACGGATTCAAATCTGGACTGGTCTTTGTGTCGGATGAAGTCGATTTCACGCGCCGCCAGCCAGTCTTTTTTTTTTTTGTTTTTAAAGAACGTTACCTCCACACTAGGTTTTTCTCCTGTATCGTGGGGGGCAGTTTACAAACACAAATTTCACAAGGACAAACATCCAAACTCGGAACAATTACTTGTAGGTCGTACAAATACTTGTTCCGTGCGGGATTCGAACCCGCGACCCCCAAGCGCAGCCACTCATTGCTAAGCCACTACGCCACGGAGCTGTCAAAAGTCTTGTGTGCTCTTCGCTCTATGAGCTGACGCCGAATCTTGTTGGAATACCCAGTGCCTGTTATTGAACATGGTATGAGAAACAGGTTACACAAGGTTCGTCAGGACTGTATTTTGATACACAACTGCATTCGTTTTTAACCTTTCTCACAAAAATGTACCTCTGTTAAGCCCCAATAAGAAACTCCCAACCATACCATGAGCGAGGATGGAAAATGACCTCGTTGGACACGCGGAATACGGTTGCTCGCTTCTTCACTACTGTGTGCGTACACCTTATCATTTTGTTTGTTGTAGCTCTCTTCTACGGTAAAAAAAATTTTTTATCCGAAAAAAGAAATTCCCGATATTTTTTTCCCGCGTACCGCTTCACCAAAGCGCGGCATCTCTTCAGTCTCAGATCCATTAGACGAGCATTCAAACGATGTCCTGTTTTTCTTCGATATGCCCGAAGCCCTAAGTCTTCATTTAACGCCGTGGTTCTGCTTAACCCCATCTGAAGGGCCAACAGTTTCTGCTTACGTTTGGGATTTCTTTGAATTCGCACCTTTACAGCTTTTATCACTGCTGGAGTCCTAACAAATCGAGGGCGACCACTTCTTGACCTGTCATCTACACTAGAGTCTTCATTGTATCGTTTGATGGTACGATAAACGAATCTTTTGGTTATATTCAAATTTTTCAGTATATCAAAAAATTTAATTGGCGCGTAATCGCAACTGCAACACGGTCTTTTTCAAGCGTCCACTCCATATGTAAAAATGAGTAAAATTCTAAAAGTATACAGTTTTATTTTCATGAACAATTCGAATTCAATAAACTTTTT